ATAGAAATTCCAACGTTATTTAAATGTTATAGCTTTCGTTGCAAAATTTCAATGGATACTCATAGAAAACAACATTAAATTTTCGTGGGATTAAATTTTCATTGGTGTTCTCATTGGAATTTGATGTCCAACAATAATATTTTCCCAAGTTTATTGTTTTAACAATTTCCATTGTAATTTACAATTTCTTTAAAATACTTTTCCTCACAATAATTCTAACTGTTGAGAAAACTACTATTATATCTTTATAATTAAAAAAATCAATAATGAACATTTTTATCGGAAAGTCTACTTAAATTATCGTTGAATCTCTATTGAAATATGTTTAGTTGTTTTTAGCGGGATTAGGTTGATAACCGAGTTATCCGAACTCGTGTCGTTTTCAAAGAAAGACTATTCGGAGCATCGTCTACCAATTAGTTGTCCAAAAGCACAAAAAGAGCAAAGAAAATCCTAAAGATTAGCAAGATGATTGGGATTGAATTAAGACTAATTGACGCTAAGAATTTAGAGCAATTGAGTAAAGATGCAAACTTTGAAATAAATATGTGAACTCTAATTATCCGGAGTCCCCATGACTTGATGAAAATGAAAATAAACGAAGAGAAATATGTTAGCAATAAGATCCTAGGTAAATAAATCAAGCTTTCTTAACTACATGACCACGCTTTAAACAAAGCCTAGACCTTTATAACAAGATAAGCATGAATTTAATTCCTAACACTTAAGCACGCAAGAAAAATATACCAAAGGCCTAAAATCGAGCATAAACACATGATTTCGGCCAAAACCTTGATAATCATCATAAGCAAGAAAAAAACAAACTCGAAGTAATAAGCACTAAGCAAGGTACTTACTCTCCTATTGCAAGCTCAAACGGAAATAATCCGTAAAGATCGAATCTTGGATAAAAGTAAAGTCACTAGAAAAGTTGTCAAAACATATTCAAGTCTTGGAGCTCCCAAACACAAAGCATAAAATAAAAGATAGAAATTCCCAAAAGGGAAAAGTGGGAAATGAAAGCTTCGCTACAAAATACAAAGGCACAAATATATTTATACTTGCCCAACAAAACACATACTAAGTGCACACACATTTAATGAAATTTGCACTCGCAACGTCGCGGAATTCAGTCCGGGTTGCAAGTGTTGGTACTGACATGGAGAGGACCCGCGACGCCATGGACTGGAGTCGGGTCGCAAGTGTGCATGCGGCCCTGGGATGAAATCGCAACGCCACGGATAGGCGCTCGGGTCACGAGTGTGGTGCTCTCCATGGTGTGCTCGCAACGTCGTGGACGCCGTCTCGGGTCGTGAGTGCCACGACTGCTCGTAGTCTCGCGGACACTGCCTCAGGTGGCAAGTGTTGGATGGCGAGCGGCCGCGGGCGTGCGCGGGACACTGGGCGCGAGTGTGCATGGGTCGCTTCGGACGCGTGGGTGTGCAGGCGCAGGCGGTGGCGCTGGCAAGCGCAGATCTTTGCTCGCGGCGAGTACACGGTGTTGTCTCGGACCTCGACTTCTCTCTTGCACAAATCAAATTGTTCAGATAATGGCTTAGAAAAAATATCGTGGTGGCTGGGGAAAGAATTGGATGACTATTCTCCTTTAATCTCCAAATGGACCTAAAAATGCACCAAAAAGACACGATAAAAATATGCCAAAACACAAAAACACAAAACACTATGAAGAGAAAAGGTCTGCAGGACATTGTAGAATTCCCAGATGAAGTGAAGCGGGTCGTCATTGGGGAGACCATGGAATGATGGGAGCTGAATTGTAGTGGACCTTTTTCAGCTCATAATTTTGTGTTTCTCGCCCTAACCGGATACATGAAGTTATTGGCCCGATCATCGATTGGGCCAAGTCTCAGAGAAGATCACATGGGGGTTGCTGGATAGCCATGGTGCCTTGATTTTGTTCGGATGTAGTGCCCCGTTTGAATTATAGATTTATCTAGATTATTGAATTATCGTATTTAATTTTTGTATAGTCCGGTAGTTGCTCGACACTTTCCGTTTAGACTTATTATTATTTAATTAGACGTAGTCTAATTAATATTATAAGTCGTAAAATCTTATTTTATTATTCGTCGCCAATCGTTTAATAAATCGATTTCCTTCGGTGTTGTCGCGTGTGTTATTCGAGTCGTTTAGTCCAAGCTAGCCTTAAATTGATGTTTGACCCATGTGTTTAAATTTCTTGGTCTTCAACCCTTTTATGTTCAATTCAATATGACTAAATTATGTGGCCCATTTTTCCTTCAGTTTCAGCCCAACTGTTTTAAAAATCTTTCTTGGCCCATGGAGTAATAATGTTGCCCTGTCTTTTTCTCCTTCACGCGACGACCGAGACCTCCTTATCATCACTGTTTTGAATTTCGGTTCCGATTTGGTCGTGATATTCTTCTCACTTTCTCCTCACTATCGCGTATATCTAACTAGATTGAGAACCTTTCTTCCTCACCTTCACTTACCAGCTGCTTTTACTGCCATTTTTCTTTTCCTGCAATTGCAAGTGCAACAAAAATTCTCCGGCATCCTCCCCAGTTGGTGTTCATTGTGTGAGCAGACTGTACCACCGCCGGTCAGTTAACCATCCCCGTCTCAGCGAGCCGGTGACCCATCTGCCATTAATTCTGGCGAACACCTCCGACAGCCATTCGAGAAGCCGACGTCCACACGAGCCTGAAACCGTCATCCTTCCGAGTTCGTGAGCAGCCCTCAGTCCATCCGAAAGACTCCAGCGGGCAGTTCGTGAGCAGTAGCTGTTCGTCGAACTTTTGAGATTTCTCGTTCGTTCGTTTTCAACCGAGCCCGTAAATCCCCGAAGGAAGGTAATCAGCGAACCTCTTGTTATATTATTCCAGCTTGTAATTATTTGTTCAATTAGTATTCTTGTTCAGTGAATCAATCTCTCACGGATTGTTCGATTTATATAGTGGTTCGTATATTTCGTTGTGTTCGTGAATTTTCGTGGAAATGATTGGAACTCTCGTTTGATAACCAAACCTTACTGCTGTGTGATGTTTTCGAGGAATTCAGAGTCTTGATATTATTTTTTGAGTTGTCTTTATACCGTTCGTTTGGTTCGAGCCTATTATTGACGTTTTGTTTTTTGAACCGAAACCCGATTTTTATAAACATTTCGAATTCTGAGATTGGATTAATTTGTAAAATTTGTAAATTCCCGATCAATGTTGTCGTGAGTTAGCGTTGTCGAAATTTTTCCCGTCACCGGAAGTCCCTCTGCGTGCGGTCAATTTCTGTAATCCGCAGCCTTCCTTATTTTTCCTTTCCCTGTACCTTAGCCCAGGCCGCGGGGCTTTTTTTTTGTTTTGTTTTATTCGCTGCCCAATTATTTTTATTTTTCCTGCCCAACAGCCCAAATCTCAGGCCCAATGTTGGTGAGGCAAGGTCATCAGTTACGACAATAGCCCAAACCCCAGTGAGAAAGCACGCAGGCTGTATGGCCCGCAATCAGCCCGCTCGCGACCCGTTTTCCTCAGCACCTGCGACAAGCAAAGCTCGGTCCCGGCCTGCGTCCTGCAGGGCCCTGTTGAGCGTGCCAATTAGAGCGTGTGAGGCCCAATTTCTTGGCATTTTTGGCCTAGTTTTAGCATAGCAGCCCAGTTTGGGTTCTCAGTCCATTTTTGTTCCGAGAGCTTATTTTTCA